AATCTGGGACACTGGTGTGGGGATATAAACAGCATTTCCATATCTGCTTCTCCCCCCACAAAACCCTACAGCACACAGAAACTACTGTTTCCCCCTGCAATAATGGACACAACTCTGAAACATCTCCCTCCTTTTCAACCTCCCCCTTGGGTCCCGCTGCTGAGTTTCACAATGCAGCTTCTGCCCTTTGTCTGTACACAGTTACAAAGCCGGCACACAAATCCACATTTAACGGATGGAGAATATCCCCATTCTCAAGACATTATGATTGAAATCTAATTACACATCACAGCACAGTCCTGGGTTTAATTAAAAAGCATTTTAGTTCTAGCTTGACATAATCTCCGATCAATTTCCTAGCAGGTTGTCTGTCCTTCTGCCTGCTTCTCAGCCCTACAGGATTAGGAGAACTCTGGGAAATTTGCACACTGGATCAAACCTGTCAAATCTTTGGGGGTCTTCTTTTCTCTTGCTGGGGATACAGCACCTGCAGGGGGGAGTCAACAAGGCTAAAAAAAAAAAGTATTTGGGAAGTTCACACAGCTTTAACACCATGTCTCAACAGAAAACCCAGTCTGAATTTGGGTTCCCAGTTACATACTGAGTTTGCCTATATATCCAATTTAAGGTGTGAAATGGACAGGGTAAAAAGCACCCAGTTTCTATTCATCCACAGCCACAATGTGCCCCTATTACCTGGCCTTTGATACCCAAGATGTGTGTTTTCAGGACCTGAAATGTGACTGCAATTTTTAAAAACTGTTTTTAATAGTGAAATTTAAATTGTCGTAACCTGCCCTGGAATCTTCTGGTGAATCTACTACTACTACTAGGCTCCCAACCAGCACTCAGACATGGACTTTGGTGAAAGTCAATAGGAAGGAAGTTCCTGAACTCTGGGGCAGTCACAATAATGTAGTGCTTAGACTGCCACTATTAACTATGATTAATTAAACGAAACCTCCATGTACAGCAGCAGGTGACTAAGCTGTGGTCCTCCTGATGTTGTGGACTCCCATCAGCCTCAACTAGCACTGTGAATGGTCGGGCACGATGGGATCTGAAGTCCAACAACGTGATGTACAGCAACAGTATACCTCTGAATACCTGAAGCTGGGAACAAACTAACAAGCAGGGAAGGCCATCAGCTTCAAGCCTTGCATGTGAGCATCCAGGGGAATCTGGCTGGCTGAAAAAGATTGGACTAGAGGACGCTAGTAGCACAAACAAGACAGTTCTTGTGGAACACCTCTCCTCCTGTCTCAGTGCACAGATGACACAATAAAGGAGATGCTCTAGAACAGGGGACAGCAAAATTTTTCAGCAGGGGGCCGGTCCACTGCCCCTCAGACCTGTGGGGGGCGACTATATTTGGGCAGGGGGGAATGAATGAATTCCTAGGCAGAGATGCATTGTTAAATAAAAGGACACATTCTACTCATGTAAAAACACACTGATTCCCAGACAGTCTGCAGGCCGGATTGAGAAGGCGATGGCCGGATCCGGCCCCCATGCCTCAGTTTTGCCTACCCCAAGCTCTAGAATACAACAGGATATAAGGGACGAGGCAAATTTCTGCCGTGGGTCAGGCCCCACAAAGAAACCGCCATATTCTGTGTGAAGCATGAACATATGCCAAAGAGCTTGGGAGCTGGGGAGTGGGAGTGGAATTCCAAGTAACATTCCCAAATAATGGAGTCAGCATATTGCTTGCTTCCAGAATCCTCAGCTCCTGATTACCAGAGTTATGGCAGACTTTAGGTCAGGAAAAGAGAGGGGGGAAATGTTGCCAATTAGAACAGCAGAGGGAACTGCAGGAGGCAAATTGTAATTACCCACCCTGGAATCGGGCCAGGCTCTGTGGGCCAATCACTCTAACTCTTGTGAAATGTGCCATGCAGTTTTTAATGAGATCACATGACCAGAGATTCCATTTACGTCTCTTTCAAAGGTATTTTTGGTGGCACTGTCTCTCTTTGCCCCATATATCAGAACCCAGGGACTGGCACCAGTTGCTAGGGAAAGGCAAGCAGTTTTTCCTGCCTATATCTTCCTGGGCTAAGAGGCATTCTGCTCCATTCCTTACCTTCTCACAAGCTGATGTGCATGGGCTGGTGTAAGAATGATACTGCCTTAGGTTAGGGGAATAGAAAGAGCTGTTCTATAGAAGCGGCAGCTGTACACCTGTGGGCCTGGTTAGGTGATATGTTAGCTCCTTCTCTGTTTGAGTTACAGTCGGCTGCCTTGGAGCATCCTATATAAGACGTCTTTATTCTTTCCCTCTAATATGCTTGGGTCCAGAGATTGTCACAAGTAGGACCTCTGTCTACCAATCAACATAGGATCCTTTTTAAAAAAAAAATTAAAATAGGGGAGGCGCAAGTCATGCATTTCTTGAATTAACAAGAGTTCTAACAAAAGTTGAGAATCCCTGACTCCACCAGACTTTTTGAAATATCTGTATGCATGGGAGGTACACAGAATGGGGTTGAAACGAGCCATACTATTTTCACTGCGCGTAACAGCACACCTCCTAGGGATTATTATTATTATTTTAAGCACACCACCGCAATCCAAATCAGTGGGCGTTTTAAATCTGAATGAATGTAAATGAACTGACATGCAAAAATGATGAATGCCTGTTATTCCATCTCCCTTGTCTCCCTTTCCCAAACAGAACGTGAGTGGCAGAAAGCCCAGGAGAACTATGTGCTTTTCACTCTTGTATTTAACAACTTGCTTGGCAGCTGCGGGAGGTAATGAAGAATTCCATGCAAGAGGGAGTAAGTGGCGGAGGAGGAACAGATCTCTCCACCTCTCTTCCACCTGTCCACTTGGTCTCTGTACTAGCTGCAGAGAAAGGGAAGCTGCATCCCTCCTCTGCCAGCCCGCATGGTAGAAGGCATTTTTAATTATTATTTTTTACAAGCCCCTTACCAGAGTAAGATGCTGCATTTCCGTTACTTGCTGTAGAAAAGAGGGTGTCTTCTCCTCCACGGCTAGCATGGAAACACATTTAAAATACATGGCTCCCTGCCCCACAAAGAACCTGAGAACCGTAGCTCTGCGAGGAGTAAGCTACAGTTCTCAGGATCATCTGGAGGAAGCCATGTGGTTTAAATGTATGGTGTGCATGTGACCTAGCTCCTTAGGTAGTAAAAAAAAAAAGTGTGCTTGTTACCTTTCTGTGAAATCATTAACAGGCTAGTGTATGTCTTCTCTTTCTATTCTCTGGTGGCCATTATGACCTATAAGTTTCTGTGGTGCACAGCTGTCTTGCACGTTTCTTCCCATATTAATGTGAGGGTTTGCAAAAAATAAAAAAAAAGCAGATCAGGAGAAAATTTTGTTGGTTTCTTGTTGAAAAAATGCTAATCTGTTTTTAGCAATTGGAATGCTGTAACTAGCTGTATGATTTATTTGTGTATCCAGTTTTAATGTTCCAAAGACTATGCTAAATAATTCATCAATTAATTATTTAATCTGGTGTGGGGTCTACACAGAGTCTGTCTGCGACAGAAGCTGCCAGCAAAAGAAGGAAGAGATTGGATACAAATTCTACCTTTGCAGTAGAAATACCATGGCATGGGACACCTTTTGAGGATACTGCTTTTAGGGTGAGGAATACAAAGGTGAAATCACATCTATGTGCAACAGCAGAAGTGACAAAATACACTGTGTGGGTCACATCATGCTGTTCTGATGTGCAGGATGACCTCCCAATTTGCATTATTGTGTTCACAGCTGTAGCCCTATAGGCCTGGCAGAGAAACAAGGAATGGATTCTGCTGCCTAAGCTGCAGAGGCACACATGGCACTCGTTTTAGACTTCTTGGTTGGGTCTGAGTAAAAATAAGCCATAATTACATCAAGCTCCACTTCCTGCAAGGTCCTTTTCCCAGGGGCCTCCGTCTCAACTACTGCCAAGGCTCAGACCTCAATTAGCCTGTGAGGTTCTCACGACAGCCCCATGAATAGCATGGATTTTTATAGCACGGTGCAAGTACTTTGTGCAAGTTCAGTTCCAAGGGGAGCACCCGCTATGTGGACTGTGGAGAGCTCTTACTTTTCCACCACAGGGGAGTTGTGGGAGGAAAGAGGTTTTCCACAACTAACTACGTGCTGAACTGCTCCAAATGTGAAAATCCAGAGGGTCCATGGGGTTTGAGGATGGAGAAATAAGAGATGAAAAGCCTGGGTGATGCAAACAATAGATGAGGCATCATGGTAGAAAAAAACAGCTGTAACCACAGTTTCTTTCAGTCAAAGAAGTGAGATTTTCTTGCTGTCCTTCTTGTCTGTCTCTTTGCAACTGACTCCACGACTTAAAATCAGCTTCACTCTGCCCACCTGCCCACAAAAGGTCACTGATACAGGCTATCAGGCTTTCTCCACCATGCGTCAAAGGTTCTTCTTTTCTTGTGTCTCCACAGAGAGAAGAAAGCGCTTGTAAGCACCGACATTTTACTGTGCCTGCAAAATTTTGCACCAAAGAGAAAAAATGATGTAGATAAAAAAATTCCGGACGGCCAAGCGGAAAAAAGCCCAGCGAAGCAGAAAAATAGGCACGCAAATTGGCAGATGCAGGCAAACTGATTAACACACAACGCCCTCTGAGTTCAGAGGGTTTTGCTTTCTGATTGTACAATTGTGAGGGTATCAAACAGTGACTAAAGAGTAATGGCCATCACAGACAAAGCACTTGGGAGGGATTTGGGGGGGGGCAATTAAGGGAAACACATTTGAAGGTGGGGAAGCATTTGTAGTCTTATGCTAAAATTCTGGGAGAATTGCTAAATTCTAATGAACATGAGCACAGAATCTCCCAATTCTAAATCCACAGAAACAGTATAAAAGTTAGTGCAATTTAAACAGTGTGCTGCTGTGTGTGTGTGTGTGTGTGTGTGTGTGTGTGTGTGTAATATGAAATATTTCCAGCACAAACTGAGGAGGTAAAGGGCAAGGAGCGATATACTGGGGAATCTGTGCGGCACAGGGCTAAAAGCTATGGGAGAAGGCAAAGAGCTAGACTGTGCATGAAAGCACCACAACATAACTACTCAAACGGTTTGTGTTGGGAATGCTTTTGCTTTAGGGCCTTCAACAAGCAGTGTCTGCTCTCCAATATATACATATTCATGAATTCTAGATGAAACAAAACTTGAGATTCTAAAGAAGCTAAATTCTGCATCAGACTAAAGATTCCATGCAGCTCATCATGTACATGGAAAATAGCCTTCCTTGTTTTTTAAAAACCATTACAGGACCAGCTTCTACAAAGGGTAGATTTGGAAAAGCATGGAGGCAGGAGCTGCAAGGAGCAAATTTGGTACCTGGAGGAGTGGGACTCTGAAGGCACACTTTGCTGCCCCTCGTATTGCTGTACCAGTGCTCGGACACTCCAGTACGGATGCTCAATCTCTTCATCCAGGCTGCTGTCTCTGAAGATTAAAGACCGCACCATGAGCAAGGACAGTGTAAAATAAACAACAACAACAACAACAACAACAACAACAACAAACCCCACCCCCCTTGGCTTCAATTTAGGCTAATGAGGCATATTCATAGGATTTGGTTGGCACTGCCTCCTTATCCAGATTTTTAAAAAGCACATCATCACTCCTTGCATATAATTGGTTTAAAGATGTGCATTTTTTTTAAAAAAAAAACTGTTGTACCATCAGCTACACAAGACAAAGCAAACTAAACAAATGTTGCAGGAAAATGGCAAAGTGGCAACTATGGATCCAAAGAGAGAAGTAGATGGGTTAATGGTATGAATGGAAGGGGCCGGGTCTGCAATCCCACCGGTCTGTGGAAATACAAGTCTTTAAGGCTTTTGTTAATTTCTTCTCATCAGCCTACAATTCCAGTCGCTCCTTTCATTGGCTCCTGATGTAACATTTTGCCGTCACAAGTGTACCTGGACAATCCATACCAGCACGCTACTAGAAAATGGCAGTTGCATTGCAGAAAGGTGTTGGCAAAGCATATAACCCCCAGGTATCTCAAGAAAGGGAGCCAAGTCACCTGCTACAAAAAAGGCAAAAAAAAAAAAAAGCCTTCCCCACCCAAACAAAAACAAGATGATGAGTCAATCCACTCTAGGGAAAACCCCTTTTTGATCAATTCTAGATACGTCAATGAGGCAGAAACTTGAATATCGGCAAAACTAATCAAAAGGTGTTTGTTGGAGTTCCAAATAGCTCACATTATCAAAATGAAACTGAACAAGTGAAATGAGTTACCTCTGTCTGTGCCGGAGAACATCACGCCCCAAACGCAAAACATCCTGGCGAACATCTGCCAGGGCAGCCACTGCACCCTGGGCAACAGCAGCAGCTGATTGAGGCCTGTGATTGGCTGATGACAGTCCTGTTCCTGCCGAGTTCTTTCCCATCATGCTCGATGGAGTCTGATTGGCAGCTTTACTTGAGCCAGGTTTAAAATGAGCAGCTAAGGCAAGGATTAACCTCATGATGCATTTCAGGTTCCCATCAACAATGTCTATAAAATACAACCAAACCCAAAGAATGAGGTTATTTGCCTGAAACCCAGCATGACTCAGTCTGGACAATTGTTGCAACCATGTTAGTATATTTATATCCCAACTTTCTTGCACCATGAAAGTCAAGGCAGTGTATATGGGATTCCCAGGCTCCAACCATATCTAGCCTGCTTAGCTTCAGAAAGGTGGCTGCACCATGAGTCTTCAAGTCCGTGGCCTTCCTTCCTTATCCACTGGCAGGTGTAATTCAACTTATACAGAGCCCTGATGCTGTTATGATATGCATTTCTTGCTCCCAAGACCGCCTCTCCCCATATGAACCGACCCGGACTCTGTGCAGTGTTAGAAACTGAGTTGTGAAAGCTAGGAGCTAAATGACACCTTAAACCTAGGTTGTGGGTGCACGGAATTATTATTATTAAGGGAAGCTTTTAATATTTAATGCTGTATTGTTTTTAACACTCGACTGGGAGCCGCCCAGAGTGGCTGAGGAAACTCAGCCAGATGGGCGGGGTATAAACAATAAATTATTATTAATTATTATTATTATGTCCAGGCATGCTTTTTTAAAACAAGAACGCAAAGCTGGCAATGAATGAACTGCAGCTGAAACATTATGTTCATTTTTCACATGGTCTAGTCCTTCCCCTGCCCACCCCCACCCCCCATTATTCTTAAGAGGGTCTCTTCTCCAGTCTTCAGAGAGTACCTGGAAGTGGGGAGGGAGAAAAAGGTCCTCCTTTCCTTCCACTCTGCAGTTTTAATCTGAAATCTTAGGCGCAGTACTGCGCCCAGAGCTCAGAAACTAATTCCCTGTTGCAAAATGTGCCTATAACAATGGGAGTTTTGAACACAAGTGGCCCAGAGTGCAGCAATATGAGAACAAGCTTTTTCTGCAATGGCTCCCCCCTTTTGGAATACTCTCCCCAGTAAGGCTCGCCTAACACCTTCATTGCATATCATTAGGCGCCAGGCAAAAACATTCCTCTTCTCCTAGGCCTCTGGCTAATTAAACAATCTATGGCCTTTTAAATGGGGGGGGTGATCGTTTGTTATTATGCTAACTATGTTTGTGTTTTTGAACTGTAAACTGCCCTATGAACCTCAGATGAAGGGCGGTATTTAAATTTGATAAAATTATGAATTAATAAAAATGCATAATAATGTCTGGAAGACCCAGCTGAAGCACAGAAGGTTTAAGGGAATCCAGCTTGCAGCTGCCATTTTTGGTAGCTACACCCATTAGAACTTTTGAGAATGTAGCTGAATAAGTGACTCAAAAGAAAATCAATTACTGCCACCTACAGATCAGGCCTTTAACTGCATGGCACACTTCCAGGTTTGCTAGATGGGAAACTGTCTCATCATAATTATGGGGACACTTTCCAGTAAGCAAGCCCAATTAAGGCCTAACTATACATTCAGAGCTATCACATTTTATTTTAAGCAGGTGTCTGCCCTGTTCACATATAAAACTGGGAGGGGAGTCTACTTCTAACTCAAAAACATAAATTTTAAGCAATGCATTGAAATGGGCAGTTGCAACTAACTTGATGCAGGAAATCTAGATTTCTTCCTTCAAGCTAGGGCTTGCTTTTGTTGCACTGGTTTTTCTTTTCTTTTCTTATTAACGCTTTATTGTCTTCAGAAAACAGTACATACCACATACAAATCTAGGAAATTATTTTCTAAGTGACAAAGCATCGTACTTTTAAAGCACAGATCTCTGAATGTGGGGGAAATGCACATTGCTAAGGCATGTTTTTATACTGTCTTTTATGCTGCTTCTACAATTAAGTGTTTTAAATTTGTTGTTAGCTGCCCTGAGCCCAGTTTTCTGAACCAGGAAGGGTGGGGTATAAATAAAAATTTATTATTTATTATTATTATATAAGTGTCACAGGCACCACCTAACTGAAACTCTTGTGAGAAAACTTCAGGTCCCGTGCTCACACCATTTGGGAATTTATTTAGTTTTATTGATTTATAAACCACTCTCGTCATCCACACACACACACTACAATCCTCTAGAAGAATGTGGCTGGGGGTAAGTGTTCATTGAATGTTTAGATAAACCCAAGGGAAACAAACTGCAGAATCCCTGAAAAAATCTAACTGACACTGTCTGTGCGGATTAGCAAAGCTGCTGCTTTTCAAGAACCAGCATTAACGTTAACAGGTGAACCTCCTGGGAATGGTTTAAATATTAACAAATCAGTCTGCATTTCAGATGCCGTACCTCCAGCTGTGCAGTCTTCCTCCTAAGTGCAGCCAGTTCACAAACCCATTCCTGCCAGGTTGTGATTGTGCTCATGACAAAATTGCCAGAATACAACGGTATCACTTCTATCCAGGCTGCTGAATAACTTATTCTATATTATTTCAGGGGCGGAAATATTCCAAGCCCCAGCCCTACCTCTATCCTTCTATCGTCTGGTCTTCATTGAAGTATGATGGTGCGCCAAATTTCCTGAAAAAGTAGCTGAGCTAGGTTAAGCATAAGGAGTTTTTACCATGAAAACCCTATTTATCGTTTCCCAGGATTCCACCTAAAATTGTAGGAAACCCAATCTTGGTTAAAAAGAAGAAACAGATGGTTTCCCAGGGTGCCATAAAAATCTGAGGCCTGATGCAGCTTATATAAAAGCTAGTACAAACTCTTGGGTAACATCTCACAGCTTCTCAGGAATGCTGCTGTTGTCACAGAGAGTCCACTGTTTTCCCCCCATATGTACAGAGGGTTCCCAGCTGACATCTGCAGCCTGTAGGGCTGCACTCTTCTCCTCCTGGAAACAACAGAAGCCACTGTGCCCCTTGTCACCCACACCCAGTGCCTCAAGGTAAGCAGTATTTCCAACGAGAACACTCTGAAGCTCACAAGACTGGGAGAACATTTCTCCCGATTCATGTGATGTTTGTGACTCATGTTGATGCCAGAGGAAGACGGAACAGCATCTGGCTTTGCCTTTTATATTTCTTTTCCACTGAATGTTTTGTTGTGCTCAGCAATGGAAATGCTGGCAAACACGGCTTGCAAAAAGCAAAGAGGAAGGTGAATGCTTGTTTCTACTGACGTGCAATGCTATTTCATTGATTTGTATACATCAAACCAAGGAGCCCTCACCTTTAGCTGATGTCTGGTGCATACGAATCTTTTTGGATGCCACGAATTGCAAGACTTTCTCCACATTCTCCCTCATTTCTTGAGGGCTGGCGGGGTTGACCTGCACTCCATTCAGTTTCTCTCCAGCTGTGGAAGAGACACAACCTAATTATCAAGAAGAATGAGCTTGTGTGACAGTAACTGCCTACTGGAGCTGTTACAGGTGGAGGGGAATAGTTGTTAGCCTCAGCAGCTGCTTCTCCTCGGAGGCAGAGGGAGTACAAGCTGTGATTTCACCATCCTCTTAGGGCACTGGAACACTTGAATAAATAGACAGAGCTCGCGCCCTTAAATGCAGCTGGCAAAGAGGGATCTTTCATTATCTGCTGTATCAGCTGGATTCAGTCATGTCCTGCTGCTGGCAGACTCCACCATGTGGCCTTTGAAAAGAGTGGCATTATCCCAACAATCGTTATGGCAAACCCTACTATTTCCTCCTTATAAATAAATAGTGGTATCTCAGCAAAGAAATTAGTACCCAAGGAAGCCCTGTGAAAAAATAAAATCACAGTTTAGACATACTCTCATTGTTTGGCAAGGATACCTACCATGAATAAGGCATTGGTCAAACATGGCCTTCAGGGCAAAAAGAGATATTATTTTCGTCCCACTCCAGTACAGTGGTACCTTGGGTTACAAACACTTCGGGTTACAGACTCCGCTAACGCAGAAGTAGTACCTCAGGTTAAGAACTTTACCTCAGGATGAGAACAGGAATTGTGCGCTGGTGGGGCAGCGGCAGTGGAGGCCCCATTAGCTAAAGTGGTACCTCAGGTTAAGAACGGACCTCCGGAACGAATTAAGTTCGTAACCAGAGGTACCACTGTACTGCTTAGAACTTACGTTTGCTTTTTGGGCGGGACTAGCACTTCTACAGCCCAATCCTGTGTGACCCAAAGAGAGGTAGAAGAGAGACCTAGAACTGGGAGCTGATGGGACCATCAACAGCCTACGAGCTTCCCCCACCTTCTGAGGGCTACTTAAGACATGAACACCCCGATGAGAGGCAGATTAAAAGAAATACAAGGTAGGGAATTCCTGCCATCCTGAGAGCCCCATTTCTCATCTTTTAAAAAAGTATACTACATTTCAAGCCATCTTGGCAGAAAGGTGATATACAAATGGAATCAATCAGTAACTCCTACCCATGTTTACTTAGAAGCAAGCCGCACTGAGTGCCAAGGTAAGTAATAGGATGGCAGCAAACTTAAACTTTTTTGTTGCTACTAATGCTGCCTTTATTCTCCTAAAAACATCTTAAAATGCTTCTGCTGGTGTATACAACCATTGCTTGTGGCTGGTGCTTTACCTAAATTTATCAAAGCCATAGAGCTGTTTGGGAAACTTATTTTCAGCAGGGACTGGGGCGAGTCTGCTTTGTGGCTGACTTGTGCAAAACCTCTCCCTTTCTATCATTGACTTCTCTCAGCCGCCTGGACGCTGACTAAGGATTTGTATTGAAAGCTTTGTTTGTACCATGATTTGGAACAGCCCAAAAAGTTCCAAACAATCTTTACAGCAGGTTAGAAAGGCAGCCTTAAAATAAATTCCTGCTGTTTTTCTACTCCACCATAAGCAGATGCATATAGCTCATTGCTGTGCCATTTTGTGGGTACTCCAAGCATAACAGGTACAGTCCAAGCATAACAGGTACTGGGGAGCTCCTCTCAAGGGACAGTGCAATGGAAGTGCAGGCAAACACACTGGAGCAATATTAGATAAATTTCTGGTGAAGTGCTATCATGGATTTATTATTTTATTTTATATTATTTTATTTTGGAGACAGAAGGCATGAACATAGTCTTTCTTCACAGCACACTTCAGCCATTGTGCATCACTCTAGAGTAGCTTCATTCAAGTTATGGAGGAGGGTGCAGTTGAAAACAACCCTGACAATAGTTACAATGAGTGTCTTCTGCCCGCCATGTTACTGACCTACAATCTCAATGAGAGAAGCCAGGACAACGCCATCTCGGAGATCATGCCTCAGGTCCTGGACTGGCTTAACTGCAGGCTTCTTCTTCAGCTGTGAATTCACCCAGGCCACATATGCTTGCAGCTGTTGCTGGAAAAGAGGAATCAGAACACCACACCATTACCGTCTTAACAGTTGCTTGAGAACCTTTGCACAACTGCATCCTTGCATGGGGGGGGGGGAGTAACAAGGCAGCAATCTTGAAACACCATGTCCATCCTGACATACGCAATGAACTGCAAATGCAAGGGCTCACCCACTGACTTTACACCCAGGTGTTCAGCAGTTCACAAGAAATGAAGAGGAGACCAAGGAGCTACCCCTTCTGCTGAAGTCACCAGAAAAAACTTATGACAGAGGTTCAACACACACACACTGTAACTCTTGTGCACACTGGATGCCAGACTAAGACTTCACTTTCAAACACCATGGACGGAGACTTTTATCTGAATTGCAGGTAAAACCACAGAACACTGTTTCTCATGGTGTACACACAGTTCCATTGTTGCCTCTACAAAAAAAACAAAACAACCCTATAAACAGACACCATAATGGAATAAATATTGATGCCACCTCTTTTATACATTTTGGGGAGTATAAAAGAGGATCAAATTTATGTTGGAAATGTTCAGATACAGAGAAAACTTTAATTCACATGTGGTGGCAATGCAAATTCACCCCCCCAAAAAAATATATATATCTGGGAAATGATGTATGATGAATTTAAAAAGATGCTTAAGTGCACTTTCCCCAAAAACCCATTAGCTAAAGTGGTGCTTCAGGTTAAGAACGGACCTCCGGAATGAATTAAGTTCTTAACCCGAGGTACCACTGTATGACAGCCAAAGTAAGAAATATAGATGGAAAGATAGTAACAAGCAAGGTGGAACAATCTGAAGTGTATTTGAAATGAAGTGGTATTAAGATAAATCTACAAGCAGGGATAAATCTGTGATCAGCAACAGACAAAATAAAGGATCATGAATGGAAGGAGAAAAGAATAGATAATCAATGGAGATGTAGCAAACTAAAGAATGTGAAATAGGATGTCAACAAAAGAAATGTTGGGAAGCCTGTACAGTCGTACCTTGGTTCTCGAACAAAATCCGTTCCAGAAGTCCATTCGGCTTCCAAAAATGTTCGGAAACCAAGGTACGGCTTCTGATTGGCTGCAGGAGCTTCCTGCAGCTTCCTACAACCAATCAGAAGCTGTGTCGGACATTTGGCTTCCAAAAAACATTCGCAAACCGGCATTTGGGAGCCAAAACATGCAAGTCACAAGACGTTCGAGACTGGTCCTGGAATGCGTCTTGTTCTGAAATGTGTATTTAAGGACTTCCTACTCCCCTTTGAACCCACCTGTGTGTTGAGATTTCCTCAGAAACTTTGCTTCACATGTCCTGCAGCATGCTGTGCAGCAAGTGAGAACATGAGATAGGGTGTTCTGTGGAACTCTCTCCCTAAGGATTCTGGACTCACTTCTTCCTTCCTTGTTCTTGGATGCCAGACCAAGGTGGTTCTCTCCCAGAGCACTTTTGGGTTGCCCCAATTGCCCTTCTCCTCCCTGCACCCCCAGACTTCTTCTCATCTAATCACTTTGGTTGCTACCTAAATGTAGGGCATTTTAAAAATCTGACTTGCTTTTGTGTATTCTTTAGGATTTTTTGTTAACCAGTTTGGAGGTTTTCTACTTAACTGACAGGTAACAAATATCGGGACACACACACACCTGTGTTTACCAGTTTAATTAACATGAAAATACATAGTTTCCATCCTACAATACAGCGGCAAGCAGCAATCCTATTGTGGTGGGAACTCCCTAGGGGCAGACAAGAGCCTGTGCCATTGAGGCGACATAATCCAGTTTATTCCTTTTACGGTATATTGCCTTCCTTTCTGTTAAGCTCCCTGTTATTCTGCCGATGTGGCAGGTTTCCAGCCATCTCAGCAACGTCAGTCACAGTACATGCTTCTACGCAGCCCATCCGCCACAAAGTCTGATCACAGCACCACTTGTAATCATCTTGACAAGAAAAATCCAACTCCAGCCGTAACAGGACATGGTTTTGGTCTGCCTTGCTCAGAAAGGTGTTCAGCCACTGATGTCTGTTGGATGCCCCTGCTCAGCAGAAAAACAGGGGACACTGGGAGGGTGGAGTGGGCTGCCACAATGCAACACAGTGCAGAAAATCCAGAAGCGAGCAGAGTAAAACCGTGAAGGACAGGACAGCGAAAAACTGTGCTGCGATGGAATGAGGGTACCTTTGATTACATGCATCAGCCTGTGGTGTTGGTCAGAGGAGACATATTGGAGGAGCTTCAGGGTTGCCAGTCAGCTTCTTGGCTCTGTTCAAGGGGGTTGGTTTAACAGTTAAAGCTCTCTAAGCAGCCTGGCCCCAAGGCATTCTGTGGGGTTTCCCCCCCTTTATGAGCCACCACAATGTGGTGTGGTCACCATATGGAGAAACTCAGCTTTGAACTCCTAGTGGAGGTTTAACTCATCTGTGTTTGGAACAGGGCCTTGTCTGTGGTGGCACCTTCCCTGCAGAACACCCTCTGTTCTGCAGGAAAGCGCATCAGCTTCAGTCTGTAGAAGCCTTCAAGAAATTGGTTAAACCATTCCTTTCCTACCGGACTTTTGTCAATGAGTTACCTATCACTCCAAAGTTGGATTAATTACAAGTGTGGGGGTTGCTTTCTAGAATTTTGTTTTAGAAATACGTTTTATCCAGCTGTTGCATTATCATTATGCATGGAAATTGAGTTTTTTAAAATGAACAGTGTGTTATGGTGCATGTTGCGATGAAACTCTAACAGCTGAATAGGTGGGTAAACCTTTAAAATAAATGTATTTTTTTTTTTAATGAAATCCAACAGAATTAATTCTATTGCAATTGCAAACATACTTTACTAGAGAGAAAGTTCCACTGAAATTCAATATGACCTACTTCTGGGGGGGAAAAACATTTGTGTAGGACCATGCTACACAAGCTACTGAAATCAGTTATACCAGGGGTCTGCAACCTTTAAGACAAAAAGAGCCACTTGGACCCGTTTCCGAGGAAAAACAAAAAACTGGGAGCCACAAAACAAGCCAAATGTAAATAACCACACATTCTTCCCCTTCCCCCATTCTCTCTCATTTCCCTGAGTCTATTTCAGATAGCAGAGGGGTATGGTATATCCATTTTTTGCAAAGCACCATGTGCATAGAGGGCATTATACAAATTAATACATAGGAAAGTGTCTGTCCCTCCCTGCAGTTCAACTCCCTCTCTTTTTACTAACAGCACATACCCATTCCTTCTGCTGGTGCAACTTTCTCATCATTTCTACATAGCAGCATTTATAAACCAGTGCCAGAGAAACTGGGTGAAAGGAAGGTGAGAGGGAAGAGATATGAATATTTATGTGTGTATATGTATACATACACACACCTACACAATTACAGGTTTGAAGCCAACTTAAAATAAAAAGAGCTGGTAAGCAAAGGAATCTGTGGTGCTTTCCATGGGATCCGGGGACATGTCAGCTAATACTCTTCCCTTTCTTCTTCCTTTGCTTGTCTCTGCAGCAGATCTTGAGGGGGAAGGGAGAAGGGCAGGAATTGCATAGGCACGAGAGAGCGGGGGAAATCCCGCATGCAGGATTTTGGTGCCTAACAGCCCCCCCTCCCTCTGCAATTGCTCTCGTGCTCCCCCGCCTCTCCTGCTGGCTACCTCTGGACCCCCTCCTCGTCCCTGACGTAATTCACCCCTTCCTCCCTGACAGGGAGGGCGGGCCCATTTTGTGGTGCTCTCCCTCAACTCAGCGGCCACTCAGAAGCAAGGCGCGGGAAAGGATCCCAAAGCACCACCGCCACCCCTCTCTCTCTCTCTCTCTCTCACACACACACACACACACACACACAAACCCCACCCCGCCATTTCCCTCGAGCGCCCGCACGCTCTCCCTCGCCTCAGGTGCCTCGCACGCGGGGCTGAGGAGAGCGTGGCCTGGGTGGGTGGCTCTCGATGCCGCGCGGCGCGCGGGGCCTAAAGACGGGCGGGCTGCCGCGACGGCGAAAGCAAGCGCGCCTGCGTGTGGCAGGTGCCGGCGGTGGCAGTGGCAGCCGTGTCCACCTGAGGGGAGAACCGTCGCTGCGCCCTAGCGCACCTTCCTGCCACCGCCCTCCTCCTCTTCCTCCTCGCTCCCTGCACCATGAGGGAAGAGGCGCCGCCGTGAGCTGCTCGGCCGCTTCCTCACCGTCCTCCAGACGAGGCATCCCCCTCGCCACCCGTCCTACCCCAGGGGAAGCTATGAGCCGTGAAGCCGCCTGGCAGAACTTCTCTCCGGCGGCAGAAGCAGCAGCAGCAGCCCTTCTCCGGCCGCCGCTGCCTCCTCCTCCATCCCAGCAGCCGCCGCCTCTCGAGCTCCGCTGCTGCCGCCGCCGCCTTGCTTTGCCCGGCTCGGCTGCTCAGCTCCATCCCCCTCCTCTTTCTGGCGCTTCTGCTTTTCTGCTCAGGGTCCCCGAGGATCTGCGGAGCCGCGGCAAAGGTGTAGAAGAGCCGCATGCGGCTCCGGAGCCGCGGGTTGCCGACCCCTGAGTTATACATTTAAGAAAAACACTTAATGTTTTTGGCCCATGGATTTCAACAGGGCTTTGGGGTGTTAATCTGTGTTGTACCCTTTGCGTGGGGAAAGAAATTCAGTTTTTAATATTAACAATTTATTTCCAAAAGTGTCTACACAAACATTTTAAACTGCAAACTTCCCAGCCTCCCATCTCTTGCTCTCCACTTCACCCAGCTTCTTCTGCATCTGTTTGCAAAGTGAGTATAAGTTACAGATTAGCTCCACTTAAAAGCACTGCACCAATAGTAGACCTATCAGACATATTAACACTAAGATCTCAGCATCATAGGGTGCCTCCAGACTATCATTCAGGCAGCTATCATAAGTCTTGTTGTTGTTGTTTAGTCGTGTCCGACTCTTCGTGACCCCATGGACCAGAGCACGCCAGGCACTCCTGTCTTCCACTGCCTCCTGCAGTTTGGTCAAACTCATGCTGGTAGCTTCGAGAACACTATCCAACCATCTCGTCCTCTGTC